TTCCAATAACTCATTGTCACCTAGATGTGTTGGGTGTTCTTAAGACAGAGTCTGACTTGGAATATTTCTCCTTCCTGTTGAACAAAAAAAAAAGTCCTCCTGCTGCTTTTTCTCCATCTAGGATTATACTTAATAGTTGATACTGAAGATTTAGTTTGAGTTTTAAAAATAAACTTCTTTGGTACAATTTTATCATTCAGTTAGAAAACGTACAACGGGAGGAAAGGAAAGAGCTCTATAGAAAAAAAAATATTCTGTTCCTGTTATGTTTTTAGAAAGAGAAATTCTGGAACCACTTGAAAATTCATAAATATCATTGACTTCAGTGGGATCCATTAACTGTAAGCAGTTTCAGGATTACGCGCCCGTCTAACGTCACGGCCCCGTCCTTGCCGTCTCGGGTGACGGAAGGTGGACACACCACCTGCTTGGCTCCAAGCCGGGGCTCTCCGGCCTCCCCCCCTCCCGTGACGCCAGTCGTCACTGACCGCGGAGGGGGCGAAGGAGGAGCCGCGGTTTTTTTGGCATGTGAAAATGACAATCTCACAAACACCTCCCTCTACTTGACGTACAAATGTAGGTTGTTCTTATGCAATACCCCAAATGTGCTGCTTGAGATGGTTGCCTTAATCTACCGCATGGTAGGGCCAGATGTGCAGCCTGTATCCTTTTTGAAATCACGGAGGCGCCCGCGAGCCACGGGCTGCAGCAGCAACAGCAACGCGGGCAGAGGTGGGCGCGCGAGGCCGCTGGTGTGAGCGCGAGGCCAAGCTCCCCTCTCTCGCCCCCGCCTTCCCCCCGGACAGGTTCTTCGGGTCTTCCTCCTCACCGGTATGGGCATGCACACCCGCGCCTGCCTGCCTGCCCCATTCCTCCTGGATTTCCGTCCTCCCTTTGCCTTCTGCCTCCCCAATTTGCCTTTTGGAGCGGCTCCCTTCGGGACTCCGCTGCACGGTCTCCCCTTCCTGCACCTTGCCAGGGTCCGGTCCGCCTTCTTGCCTGGGCAGAAGAAAGGGAGGTGTAACGGAGAGGACCCCACCGGTCGCAACACGCACAAGTCGTGTTTCTCCTCGGGTTCACGCTGCTAACTTGTAGGAGGAGACGGAGCAGCTGCTCCTGCCGCCAGGCGATGGGCACGTTCCCGTGGCGGGGGCTCGGGCTTCTTCTGGTCGCTTTGGCTTGCCTGGCAGGAGGGGCGCGCGGTGAGTAGCGGGGACGGGGCGCCTTTTCTCCTCCCGCCCGGACCCTCGCGCG